ATTCAGGCATGGAACTTACCATTTCACTGGATCTCAACGAATGTTGGGCTTAAAATAGGCAGAGTCTTCATCAAGATTATTGATGTCAATGTCCCCCAAGGAGGAACTCTCGCCGGAAAATGCATCGGATTGTTTGTAGCAGCTCTGGATGTCAACCAACCGTTGATTCGTAGCACAAATATCCAACTCGGTGATACCATAAAAAAGGTGCAGTTCAAATACGAGAGATTGGTTAACCTATGTTACTACTGTGGTCATCTAGGGCACATTGACAAGAATTGCAACCAGAGATTGTCCGATATAGCCGATGGCAAGCATAAAGAAGGATTGTTCGGGGAATGGCTCAAAGCATCAGACATATTTTACCCTTTTCTCAACTGCCCAACCACACCTTGTCACTCTAAAACAAAATCACCATCAAACAACCTCAGCTCTACTAACCATAGTAACCACAGTAGCCAGAAAGACAACTCCACATTAAATCCCATATCCCAAGCAACCATAAATCCTAGCCAAATACAAACTCAATGTCACCAAACCTGTGACCCATTTCCTTCATCAAGCCAAAACCAAATCCCATTCCTTACCAATACTAAAATTTCCGCTGCGAACAAATCTCAGACGTTGATCCAACAGTGCTCTCCTATCCCTAACAACAGCTGCCAAAACCCATCTGATCAAGGCTCTACTGAAATGGAGCCGGAAACCATACCATTTATCCCAGGACCATCTATCCCAGAATCTCCAAAACAAGTTCAAATGATTCCAGAAACCCAAACTCCCAACTTAGCCCAAGAAGGAAGTGTTTACCAGACCAAGAAGTGGAAAAGGAAAGATCAAACCCCTATGAGTAAGGGACAATCCTCTCAACCTTTACTCATTAGAACCAAAAGACAAAGGGATGACAAGAGCCATAATGTGCCAGAACAAGAGGAAGAAATAGAAAAAAACTCAGCAAGCAGTCAAGTTAAGAAACCCAGAACAGCGCAGAAAGCGGTGTTGGAGGCCAGCCCCAAATGGCCCCAAAATCCTATATGAAGGTTGCGGTGTGGAATTGTAGAGGAGTGGGTGGTCCCTCTACAGTTTTCCAAATCAAGGAGGTTCGGAGACTCCACCACCCATCTTTTGTTTTCCTGTCCGAAACCAAGAAAAAAAATAATTTCATTTGTACAGTATGTAAGAACATAGGGGTTCAAGATAACTGGACCTATGTTGAACCAGTTGGCATGAAGGGAGGACTATTGTTATTTTGGGACCCCTCTATTCAGTTTTTCCAGATTATTAAGAATCCTTTTTGTATAGAGATAGAATATTGGGATGAAGCAAAAGAAGTCATATGCTGGGGGATCTTCATCTATGCAAGTACAAATCAAAAGGAGAGAGAGTTGCAATGAGATTTCCTCATTTCCAGGAAGCTTATTTGGGGAAAATATTGGGTTTTGTCTGGGGATTTTAATGATATCACAAAGCCAGATGATAAGAGAGGAGGAAGGCCTAGGACTCAACAATCATGTGATAGCTTCAACAAGTTCATCAGCAACATGGAGATGTTAGAGGTGAAATTAACTGGATATCCCTTCACCTGGGTGAACAACAGAATGGATGAAGGTTTCATCGAGGAGCATCTTGACAGACTATTTGCTTCTTATGAATGGCACAACATCTATGCCGATGCTCAACTTCAAAACATATTCAGAAGCGCCTCTGATCACAACCTCATCCTTCTTAACTGCACTCCTGGAACTCTACATCCCAAGAAAAGATTCTATTTTGACAAGAGATGGACAGAGAGGAAAGGTGTAGAAACTGTAGTCTCAGAAGCATGGAGTCAACCCCAGTTAGGCACTCCTATGTTCTTCCTTCAATCGAAGATTAAATCAACGAGGGTAGAACTTCTCAAGTGGAGTCGAGAATTTAAATCAGAAAACTTCAAGAAAATAGAAGAATGCAACAGACAGCTCAATAATCTCAGAAATGAAGGTGGATTAAGGGACTGGAAACTTTGGGACCATCTTACTAAGGAGCTGACTGAAGCTTATACAGTGGAGGAAAAATTTTGGGAGCAAAAGTTGAGAATCAATTGGCTCAAGAATGGCGACAAAAACACGAATTTTTTCCACGCTCAAACAATGCAGAGGAGAAAGAAGAATCAAATCCTTAAGCTCACCAAAGAAGATAACTCCATTTGCCAGAATAAGGATGCCATTTCCCAATGCATTGAGGAATACTTCTCTAAGCTTTTTCAGACAAAGGGGAGCACCAATGGCGACAGAACTCTCCAAGATATGAGGAATGTGATCCCACATGATGTAAATCTCGAGCTAGTGGCACCTGTGAGCATAGAGGAAATCAAGGAAGCCCTCCATAATATCAATCCCCTAAAAGCGCCTGGACCCGATGGTATGACTTCTACCTTCTTTCAATTCTTTTGGTCTATTATTAGCCAGGATCTTTGTTCAGTTGTTCTTAGCTTTTCTGATTCAGGCTGCTTGCTCAAAAGTATTAATCAATCCCTTATCACTTTAATCCCCAAATGCCCTAACCCCTACTTTGTTTCCCACTTTAGGCCTATTAGTCTTTGTAACGTTGTGTATAAAGTTATTTTTAAAATTCTTGTCAATAGATTGAAACCTTGCATTTCTTTGTGTGTTAGCCCTAATCAATCGGCTTTTGTTCTCAATAGACAAATTATTGATAACGTTTCTATTGCTAATGAAGCCATTCATTTCCCTAAAAATCATAGATCAGGGAAAAAAAATTTTATGGCTATCAAATTGGATATGTGCAAAGCTTTTGATAGAGTAGAGTGGGACAGCGTGCGATTAATCATGCTTAAGTTGGGATATAATTCCTTGTTTGTGCAGTGGATTATGAAATGTTTATCCTCAACCTCTTTCTCTTTTAATCTGAATAGAGAATCAGTGGGGTACATTAAGCCCTCGAGGAGAATAAGACAGGGTGACCCCATCCCACCCTACCTACCCGTTCATTTTGATATATGAAATTCTAACCCATTTAATCAATTCTGAGCTGTCTAACAGGTAATTTTCAAGGAATTAAGCTCTCTAAACACTGCCCTGTCCTCACTCATATCTCTTTTTTGCGGATGATACCCTGACCCCAACCAAGCTCTAACCTTTGTCCGCATTTTGCAAACCTACCAATCCATAACAGGCCAAGCTGTGAACCTGTCAAAATCCTCTGTCTTCTACAGCAGAAACACTCCTCAACAACTCCATTTGTCACATTTTGCTAGGTATTTCCCCTCAAACTCAATCCAAGTAAGTACCTGGGCCTCCCCCTTGGAATTGGTGTTTCCAAGAAAGCTACTTTCTCCTACGTAGAAGACGCTGTATCCAATTGGAAAAAACAGATTTTTTTTGTCTTTTATTAAGAAACTGTCAACTGAATTTGCAAATTTTTGGTGGGATTGCAAGAAGGAAGGAAATAAAAGTATACACTGGAAAAAATGGAAGCACATCACTTTACCACTGGAGATGGGGGGTGGGTTAGGTTTCCATGACCTACACACTTTCAACAGAGCTCTCATCTCAAAGCAACTTTGGAGAATTCTCAGTCAGTAAAATTTTGAAGGAAGGGCAGATATTTCCATGATAGCTCCCTCATCTCAGCCAAGCAGAAAATATGTTGTTCATGGTTGTGGACAAGTTGGTGGAAGCTAATAGATAGTTTCAAGAAAGGGCTCTTTTATCATATCAGAGATGGCAAAACCGTGAAGATCTGGGAGATGCCATCTCTGCCAAATCATATACCAGTGGGGAAACAACCTAGAAATGCTAATCTAGTCTGGGTTTGGCAGCTTTTGGACCCAACAGGTTGGAGATGGGATAGAAAATTGAGTGTTGAGAGCTTCACTTCTGAGGAGGCTTATGCTATACTAGCCATTAATGGGTTAGATTCTCACAAGGAAGACATAGTGGCTTGGAGCTGGAATAAGACAGGAAAAACACACAGCAGCTTCCACCTACTCCAAATTGATTGAAGATAACTGGAGAATCATGGACATTGCGGGATCTAGTATGCACCAAGCTGAGCTGTTGAGAAGCAGGAAAAGGACTTGGAAGTTGAAAATCCAAAGGGCACTGTATATGGAAAAGCATCAATAACATACTACCAGTGCTGAAGAATCTTCAGGCAAAAGGGCTCAAATTAGACCAAATCTGCAAGTTCTGTGGGAATGAGGAGGAGACTCAAGAGCACCTCTTTTTCCATTGTACAAGAGCTCAATTAATCTGGAAGCTATCTCCAGTTTCTTGGGAAGGTTTGATGTCAGAAACTTGCAGCTTCAGAACATGGTGGCATTCCCTATGTACCCTGCCATGCACATCCACATCCGAAGACCGTATACAACTCTCAACCTACCTTCTATGGTGGATGTGGAAAACTCGGAATCTATGGGTTTTTCAAAATACCCTTCGATCTGAGAGAGACACGGTGAATTTAGCTATGAGCAATTGGAAGTCTTTCTCAGTCTTTTGTTAGCAGGTTGTTTTAGTTTTCAGGCTCTTAGCCTGGTTTTTTGTTTTTAGGCTGTATTGCTTTTATGTGTTATAGTTTGTGTGTTAAGTAGGTTTTGTTAACTCGCAAGGCCCAGGTGGTGCAGTGGCTAGTTAATTTTGTTGGCGCCCTTGTGCCGGTTTAAGAGTGGTAATTCACCCTCGGTCTCTTAGCTTTAGCCTATGCCGAGGTAGTGATACTTCTCTTTTAGTCGAGGCTTGCTTCTGCCTTTTTGTATCTGTTTGGTTTGTTATGGGCTTTGTTGCCGCGAACAGTTTAAATTCTTTTGAGCTATAAATCCTATCGTTTC